GGCGGCGGGGCCCGGCTCGCTGGGCTTCTCCAGGTGCCGCAGCTTCAGTTTGCTCTTGGGCCCCGGCGCTCCGGGCTGGTTCTTAATCTTCTTCTCATAGTCTAGGAGTTGGCCCAGAAAATTGAAGTTCGGAGAGATCGTAGGTCTTTTTTCTTTAACAAATCTACAAAGAGGGAAAGAACAAAAAGACTTGAATTTGGCAACTACCTTTTCTCTTAAGAATGTTACTGGGGCGGGGAGGGTGTAGCGCAGCACTAGGGCCCGTGCTTAGCAGAGACGAGGTCCTGGGTTCAATCCCCAGTAACTCCATTAAAAAACAAGTTATTAAGATACATTATGCGGGTAAATTAGATAGGGAATTATTAACCCCCCCCCCAGACCTTTGGAAGATTGGTTTAAAAGTTCAGAGAGACTGTCCGGGAGGAGCTAGGGGTCTCTGTATCGGGGGAGCTTCACAGCATGTCCCTGGAGATGCTAGAAATGGGGGAACCAGGCCCCGGAAGTTCTAGGTTCAGCCTCCTTACTTTCAAGGACCCAAGGCTTCCGATGTCACTGATAAGAGATGATTCTTTCCTCACCTGGGATACCCCCAGTGCCCAGCAGTACAGCCTTCACCTTAACAGCTTCAACTTCCCAATGTCAGAGTCCCTCCCCCAGGTCACTTCCTTAAGACAGTTCACATTTTTAATGACCAAAAGAGAAGGTATCAGATGGCCACAGCAGCCAAGCACACACTTCCCAGTTCCTGCTCTGTGTTCAGGGTGACAGAATAACCAGCTACAAAGTGGTCTCTGTCTGCTCAGCATTATGCTGATGCCTTAAGTGGAGTGTTATTTCATTCAACCCTCAAAACTACCCTCCGTCTGGTGGGCGTTAACTCTCCTCGTCACACAGGTACACGAGTCCTAACGTGACTTGCCCCAAGTGACACAGCTACTGAAAGGATGGTGCCAGGATTCAAGACCAGGTCTATTATCTGGGTTCTTTTCTGTAACCACCATGTTAAGAGTCATCAAGGGATCAAAACTAGTAATAAACAGCTTTTGTTTGTCTCAGCAACAGAGACTCAGAAATAGTAGATACATTCGTTAGTGGCCCCTGACCCACATGGACACTTCCTGGAAGATGCAGGAGTGAAAGAAACTACACTGAAAATTTATATTTGGATAAGGAAGGAAGAAAAACCAAAACTAAACTCCTTGGAAATCAAGTAACTGAAAGCAAATTAACAAAGCCAGAAATAACCAGCTCAACTATGACAAGTGCAAACCCTGGGTCCTGTGGTCAGACCTCATCAGAGGGCCTAAGGGTGCTGTTTCTGCTGGTTTCTATGGGGCAGGAGGCCTCAGCTCCTCCCTCAAGGGAGAAGCTGTTCAGGGAGCTCGTTTCTTTTTTCTGTATTTTCCAATTTGAGGAAAAAGTCCAATTGTTACAGCAGGCCTGGCTCCATGCGATCGTATCAATCCTTTAATCACACGCACACTAGGTACCCCCTCCAACAAGATATGCGGAGCACTCAGATCCACGGGTCACTGAACAAAACCAGTCCCTGATCCTCCTGTCACTGGCTGCCCTCTGTTTTGAGAAAGGCGGGTGGGGCAACCCAGTCCAAATTATACTCCGCAAACTCTGGGCCACTCGAGGATGCAGGAAATTCTCGACGAATGGGGTCTGACAATCACTGGGTTTTACACTTGCATACACTGGGCTTTTCCCTCACAGTGGGAGAGACAGGCCGAAGCACAGGAGAAATTCTGTCCCGGGTTTCCTCCCGCGGAGCGCCTTTTCTCACGTGTAGATTCGAACAGATGATACAGCCCCACCGAGAGAAAAAATACAAACTCACAGGAACAGGAGAGACATCTCAGGACTTGTTCCTTAAACTTAAAAAGTAGCGGAGGGTGAATCTGATACATGTGAGGGGAGAATTAGCGCTAAATTATAAAAGTGTTATTTTCCTCCGATCTTTGAAAAACCACTGAAAACCCACAGTCCCCTATAAAGAGTGTCACTAAAATAATCAGGATCCGCTTTAACGTGGTCACCCACCCTCACGTCTCCTCGATTCAGGTCAAATGAGAAGCCGGTCGCGCAAGGCCAGTTCTGTCCTCACCTGTAAGCTTCATCTAAGGACATATCCATCCTCTTCATGATGTAGGCGATCGCGATGGTGGCGGAGCGAGAGATTCCGGCCAAGCAGTGCACGAGGACGCATCCATTCGAGGCTTTTGCTTTCTCTGTAGAGTCAAATTCAGAGAGGATCACTGATGACGACTTTGCTCAGCAGTGAAGTCTTGTTTCCATTTACTCACCCAGTGTCTTTTAAACCTGGCAACTCAAAGTAAATCCCATCTACTTACATACTTTTCTTCCCAATATTCTTTGAAGGAGGTAGGGGAAGATAATTTCCCCACCACTGACACTCAGAACAGTGAAGGTCCAACTGTGTTACTAAGCCATCTGTCCCTCCCGCAGGTTGTCTTTGTCATTTTAATAACTTTCTCTGAGTGTAAATCAGATGTGACTACATGATTCTACTTGTTCAATGTAGAAAACTTCAAAAATACAGAAAAATATAAAGAAAACAACACCCCAAATCCTAAGATTTAGCTAGTATTTTGTTTACCCATGTTGTCTGACACTTCAACTTTTTTCTAATTATGTAAGCAGTATTACATTTTTTCCCCCCGTTTTGAGATATAACTGACATACAACCTTGTATGTTAGGTTTATAACGTAATTTGACATAAGAGATAATAAATTAAAAATTTTAGAATATATGTGCCACACATTACTATGTAAAAAGCAGGGAGGGTGAGGAGAGGGAGAGACTTAATCATCACGGTGACACCGCTTCACGACACAAAATGATGCCACATCCAGCTACGTTTGAAATGCCTACTCAGAGCCTAGCTTCCCTGTTTTTCTTTGGGAGACTTTTCTGTACGTCATTAAGTGACTCACTCAGCTTTATTTGCTGAATTTAAGAAAGCGTGTATGAATCAGGTTTAGTAGGTCACTTTAATGAGCACCCACGGAACTTTGACCTCTCCCTTGATACCCAGGAGTTCCTGTCTGACTGCGTCATGCTGATTCCCCACGATATGGGAAAAGAACTCAGGGACGCTGTTAGAACCACGGACCAAGGAAATTCAAACACACGGTACTGCCGTCTTGACGAGCGCTAAAGGCTTTCTCATGGGAGTGAAGTTACCCCACAGCCTGGAAGCAGCTAACCCTTCAGCCAGCGTTATGAACCACACGTGTGCTTACCGTGCGCTCCTGCCATGGAGCGCGATTCTTC